AGACTTCGCGTCCTTCAAATCCCCACAATGCTTTGCGCACGGACCAATTTCCCCAAATCTGTGGCGGAAAATGTAAGGTGGGGCCTCTCATATGACGCACACCTGCACACTTGCTAGCCTATTCCACTCTTCGTTTTCCGAATGCCAGGAAGGATTCTTGACTAGCTTCTGAAGGAAGTGACTCGGAAGACATGTGCTACCAAGCAAGCATCCTCGCGATTGAGAAACGGCCAGTGTATTTCTCCAAATGTTTTCACCGCCATGTCTTTGAAGAATTGTGACAGTAAGCGGTCAAACCTACTACGACTCTATCTTCATTGGCTGCGGTTTAACTCAGTGTTTACATCGGAGTTTCAACACACTGCATGAGAACACTACAAACAGTGTTTGTGAGCTTTCTAAAGTGTGACTGTACAACTGGCGCAACACAGTCAAAAAGGTCTTTCAATGAAGAATCCTGACGTTGCTCCTCTCCCACCTCATGGTGTGTAAGTAATACCGAAAACTCAGACAAAGATGGAACCTCCACTGTGTCAGTTGACTTTCCATCTGGTAGCAAGTCATGATCCCTTTTCGCCCTAGCACGTGTGATCACACACGAGGCCGTGACGTCTGGCATCACTGTAGAGCACTTCTCAGATCCTGACTCAATCAGACCACCAGTGACTAACAACACAGAGGGAACATCAGCCCAGACTCTACCACCTGCCAAACCGTTACCCAGAATGAAATGTATCCCCTTGATTGGAAAAGCTGGGCGTACACCAATAGCTACCTCCCCTTTAACAAGGTCACAGTCAAGATACATCTTATGAACAGGAACAGGGAAAACCGTTAATCCCATCCCCCGACTCCGAACCGTGTCACCAGTGTCACTTTCCTCAGACAAAGGCAGAACAGAGTCAACGATAAAGGAGTCAAATGCACCGGTATCCCTAAAAATTGTAATTGGAACTCTGACATTGCTACCTACCAAGCCCTCTCTTATAAAAGGATCATAGGACGCCAAAACCTCTGATCCCCATAAGTGGTCTGTAAGCACCTCGTTAACACAGCAGCTTTTCATAGGAACAGCTAATGCAACTGGTTTACCCACAAATCTTCCTCCCTTGGATTTTGCTCTAAGCGCCGGACATTCTGGTTTCCAATGGCCTTTCTCACGACAATAGTTACAAGTATCCTCAGATGTTTCCCAAGCCACTTTCTTTGGATCCATCAACCAACATCAACAGCCCTTCTACTTCCTTCAAAAACGGGTAGAGCTCCAGCGCGCCCTCCGAACCTGCCCTTATGAAGTAACACAAACTCATCCGCTGCCACCGCAGCTTCGGACACCGAAGTAACCCTGTGTTCTATTATATAAGTAGCAATGTTGTCAGGAAGAATGTTTTTGAACTGTTCCAAAATCATGAGTTCACCCAAATTGTCAAAAGAAGTGATGTCCAGAGCAGCTAACCAACGTTTAAAATGAACCGACAAATCCCTCGCCATTTCCACATATGTTTGACCCTGTTTTTTCTCCAAGGACCTAAAACGCTGTCGATAAGCCTCAGGAACGAGTTCATATGCTCTAAGCACCGCCAATTTTATTTTAACATAGCTAGAGCTATCCTCCAGACATAACGCGGAATATGCAGACTGTGCTCTTCCTGTGAGCACACACACTGAAGCATCAGGGCATAGTCTGCATCCAGCCAATCCCTAGCCTTAGCTACCCGTTCAAAAAGCAAAAAAAAGTGTCAGGATCACTTTCATTAAATTGCGGTAACAAGCACAAGTTGTTAGTATCGAACCGATGATGGGACCTGGGCACCTGTTCACCGTGCCGCTCACCCAACGCCGCACCATCTCTGACCATAGAAAGACGTTGTCCTTCCATATCCAGTTTGGCTCTCTCAGTCTCCTGCCGCATCCGCTCCACTGCAATTTCCTTTTCAACCTCCATCTCATGCCTCATTTTGTCATGATTCAGCTGCAACAATAACATCTCCTTCTGCTGCTCAAAGGACAGTGAACTAGCCTGCAACAGTGGTTTTAACAACACACCTCTTTTCTCTGCCGGAAACACTCCCGTTTCACCTAATGCCGTCACAATAGAGTCTTTTATAGTGCTTTTTAGCCTCTTATCGCCGACGATTTCAACCGAGAAATGTTCAGCAATAACGAGCAGCTGCTCTATTGAGAAATTGTCAAGGGCTTCCTGAGATGGAGCCCTGATAAATGCGTCTACATCCGCCATACTATCACACAACACCGGAGCTTACACTGAGACGAAAAGCAAAAATAAATGATTGGAGTTCCCCCACTAACTGCGGCACCCACTAACTAATCTCCTCCCTAGTCTTCATGTAGTTACTTGCGGCGGGTACTTATGCACTGAAGACCGCTGGCCCAGCAAAGCGACTAGCAAGCTAGCAACAATACTGCGACCACGGCCATGCCCCCAAGCCGAGGCTTCAGCCACTTTCACCACAACATTAAACACCCTGCCCAATGATCCCAAGGGAATCGTCGCTACAACCTACCAGGGGAAACTCCGCACAAATAATGAACTAACTCCCAATACCAGCTGTTGAGATCTTCATATGAAGTGAATACTTAAAACGAAAGTTAATTGAGATCATGGTATGAAGTGAATACTTAAAAAACGAAAGTTAATTATAAATCATACATGATCAATCATATTCTTGTATAAACCCATAATGAGAATGCTTCTTGACGGTTTTTGAATATGTATCTATGCTTACAATTTTTTCTGTTGCTATTTGAGAACTTTGCGTTTTGAAAAGAGGGTGTTGTGAGTTTTCATAGTATGTTTAATACTTAAAAACGAAAGTTAGTTATCAAATATAATCAATTATATTCTTGTATAACCCACAATGAAAATGCTTCATATTTTAGGTTTTCTATAGTTACAGTATAAACAAAACCAAGTGGGTTGTTTAGGTTGAGTTTTCTTCCTCTCCTCTGGCAGCAGTCCAGAGAGAGAGGGGGGGGGGGGGCTTCACACTAAGGGGAGAAACATTAAGAGGCCAAAGAGAGTTCATGTCCTTTTTACCTCATATGAAAGGGTGTCTTATCCCATAACAGCTGTGGAACATGTTGAGACATGTTTAGCCTTGTACATTAGTGCGCATGCGCAGTTTTCAACTGAATTGGGTGAAGAGGAGGAGTTTGTTTTTTTGGGTTTAGGATCCAGTTTTTTTAGCATAAAGAGACTGGTTTTTTGAGAGAGCGCGAGAGAGGGGGGGTGACCCTTGGTAGACTCTCTCCCGGTAGGCTGTGTGCTTCAGAGCTGGGTTAATAGCTCTCGGTAAGGTCCTACCAGACGGGGTAAATATCTCTCAAATGTATTAGTTGTTGGCTGAGTGGAATGATTTGATGAGAGAAAAAGTGTATGGAATGTTATAAATACTGCCATCTGTGAGGAAAATCTCCCCTCCGAAATTGCAGATAGGTATGGGTTTTTAAATGTTATACCCGCCGTCTGTGTCGGAAAAAGTGTATGGAATGTTATAAATACTGCCATCTGTGAGGAAAATCTCCCCTCCGAAATTGCAGATAGGTATGGGTTTTTAAATGTTATACCCGCCGTCTGTGTCGGAAAAAACGGTATGAAACTGATGTGAATTGAGTTGGTGAAAATGAAAAAGTTGAATGCTCTTTTTATTGTCACCGGTCTTTTTACGAGGAAATACCTCTAAATTCTATCGGGAGAATTTTAAAATGTCACAACTGAAATGGGCAGTTGAAATTAAAACATTTTGGTAATACATGTAAGACTGTGAATTAAAGTTTCATTTGAACATAATCACAGCACCAGGTTTTTAGTATGATTATAATGTTGTAAAGAGAGAAGGTAAAAACCCTGTATTAGTTTGGACCTATTTTTCTTCAAATAAACTGAATCCCACCTGTTGGATTGGGATCCTTTAAAAGACACCTGTGCTCTCCTCTCCTGCGTCAAAGGTAAGATTGCACCCTGCCACACACACTTAGGTAGGAGCACACTCCATTTACTGATATCAAAATCCTTCGGGATCGCTTAAACAGATTAAAAAAGAGTTGTCTGAATTGAAACAGCAGTTAATTGAACCTGGTTCTTCGGGGGGGTTAGGAAGAGGTGAGATCTTGCTGACGTTGGTGGATCTGAGCCAAGCCGCAAACTTACATAGACTCAATAATCTTCGGAAAGGTCAATTAGGAGGTCAGAATAATTTACCGGAATAAATTATCAGGACCTCTCAAAACTCTAAACACAGCTTACCTTACCGGAATGGACGAGCCCCCAGCTGTCATGGCTTGGCTCTCAGCCACAACAAACGCGCGACAGAAACGAGAGCGTGAATAGAAAAAAAAGAGTTTATTTGGCTGCTGCTGAATGACACAAACAGGCGAAACAAAAGGTCAGCTGGTCGTGACTGCTCTTCACGTTGCGTCCTCGTGCCAGAGAGAGAGAGAGAGAAAGCGAGATCCGGTCCAGTCCTTTATCCGGTTAGCTCCAGCCGCCAGGTGTCCTCAATTCCCGTGAGCACACACAGAGGGAGAGTCATTAAAGGGCCACACACACGCATACCCACCACCAGAGATAGTGAGGCAGGGGTCGTCACACTATGCTAACCTAGCATGTGGGTGTTTTCTTCTACTGAAGGTATTGTCGTAGAAAGCCGGTGAAGCCATTTCCTGCTGTCATTATATTCTGTTTGCATGTGGGTATTCTGTTTGTGTTTTGTAACTGTAAATTGTATTGTTTGTTTTGCAAGTGTAAATTAATGGTTATATTTTTATATATTAATTTACAAAGAAAAACCGAATTTGCCACCATGGATAAATGCATATCTGTTAAAGGAACATGTTAATTTAATTATTTAGAACTTTGTGTATGCTTTCTCAGTTAGCTTCAGGCCTCACTGAGGAGAAGTATTGAGGTAGAAAGCTGGTGAAGCCATTTCCTGCTGTCATTATATTCTGTTTGCACAGATAATAAACCTGGTTGGCAAGAAGGAAGCCATATTCATTCGACAACACAACGCAGAGATACATGCGGCGTCAACCCAGAGAATGATTAGATAAATAGAGAAAACGGATATAATTTGTAAGTGAATTTATTAATGTGTTTAATAAATTCTGGCTAGGACAACCACACAAACGGCAGCAACTTTCCCTCTGCTTCATTCTTTTCTCCTGTTCAACAGGCTTATTATCTGATTACCAGCTCTGCACAGCAGACTTGTAACACTAGCAGCAGTGGAAATTGAGCATCAGAACCTGGAGAATACAGCAACAACAACAAGGATCCATTTGAAGATAGGTAAATATTACAGTAATAGTGTACTTTCATTGTGTGGGTGTAACATAGTTAAATAGGTTGTAAGAGAGAGAGACTCCTGTCCCAACTCCCCATTTTATTTTTAGTTGTGCATTGTTATTTGTGCTTGAGAAACATTCCACTTGAACTTTATATTTTAATGAACTTAGTAGTAATTATTGTCCTATATTTATTTCCGATTTCACAGCTGCCTGGGCCTAGCAGCAAGAACCTCCATCTGTGCCTGCACCCAGGTCAAGATCTACCGTGGCTCAAGGGCCTTCACCAGAGCCATCACCACCAAGGACCAGAGGACCAGCATCACTACAGCACCCTCCATCTGTGCCTGCCACAAGATTAAGATACACCTCGGTACAAAGGCCTCCACCACAGCCATCACGATCAACCCAGCCAGCAAATAAGTCTCGCCTAGCACACCTCCCTCCCTCCGACACAGCCACCAGCAGCCCATACACCATCACCCCCACCTACACAGCAGCCAGACCCACTGTCTTGGAAGACAGACAAAGACCATGGTGTTAGGGAAATAATTATCATAGACGCCAAGATGTGACATACAGGACAAACCTTGATGTCTGTTTACCTCCTTTAAGGACACAGGCTGTTTCAGCCAATAATGTTATTGTTCCCATTCTGTGACCGGTCAATACTGGGTCACAGATGGTCTGTATTGTGGGTACACTGGGACACTTCCTTCTCTGTTGTCTGAGGACTCCAGGGCATGACATATCCAAGGCCATAAGTGGCAGAAGCTGGTAACTTAGTGTGCCCAAACTATCTAAAGCTATCTTATCAAAACATGTTGATGACTCTCTGTGGAACCAGTTAAATGGGCTAGCAAGAGAGAGGCTCTCCAGAATTGACGTGGCAACTCTACCGTGAAGTCAGAACCTCTGACTCTTGGACTTGTGATGTGAATCCTCCGGCCGTAACTCCAAATAAACCATCAGTGTTTGACATCAAAGCTACTGCTCCTACCGTGTCTCCTTCCTGAGTCGGTGACTCCCACTGCATTGCTACACAGAAGTTTCCTCTTCAAATTGGCGTTGTCGGCAGGATGCCAACAGATCTTCAGATTCTGGTAAGTGTGATTTTCAAATCTACTTTGGACATTGCCTTATCAGAATCTGTGATTGACGGTATCCTAAAATTACCTGTGAAACTGATCGGCTGCGTTTCCTTTTGGTTAATGAACATTTGGGGATAGTTAAACCCAGGGAATCAGTGTCTGGGGACTCAGTCCTAGCTGATTTCCTCTGTGTGTGCTGCTCGGGACGGAAGTGCCATACAAGCATGCACAGCTCATGTTTAAAGAGACCTTAAGGAAAGAGCATCAGTGAGGTGGAGCTTCTGTGTGAATTGAAAGCAATGTAAAATATTTGTATTGGACAAATCGCCGGATTTTGAGGGTCTTAGCGGCCAAACATAGCAGTTGAAAATAAGCAGCCAAGAGATACCATACTGTTATCACCTCTCTATAAAAAACGGCTCCGGCTCCGGCCTTGGGAGTGTGTGTAAAAACACCTCCCCCGTGTTTGTGGAGCTGGGGCAGTATAACTGAGAGGAAGAAAATCACAGTTTTTTTGTCTAGGCTTTAACTCACGGCACCGCCGTCCTTCAAACGGGACGGTCTAAAAGCACTCGTTGTTTAGGACCGCTTTCTCATGGTTAGACGGGCCAGCGCGAAGTGCGTGCATCACCGATGCGCCACGGTTCTCTGGAGCAGGTGGCGGTCAGGAGTGCATACATACAATTATAGGCTAATTGATCAGAGGTGTGTAGTGGCAAGCAAGCATAGGCAAACTGTGTTTCACCTTGAGGTGAACTCGATAGCAAGTGTATATAGGCTGGTCGTACGGACTACAGTCAACTGAGCTGTTGTTTGGATAGAAAGGGCAGGGAAAAAGTCTGTGGGCTCCGATCGGGGGGGCACAGCGCCACTAGAAACAAATAGCCTAGTGGTTGTCGCAAGAGGATAAGCTAGTTATCGTTCTTGGACGGCTTTCAGGCACCGATAAATCACTTGTATACAAGGGTGAGGCGTGAGAAGACGCCCCACTAATTCCCCACCCCCTCTAAGATCTCTCTTAAATCCGGACTAAATTGAGCTAGATGAGCTTTGCTGTCGCGCTGGTGTTTATTAAGAGTTCATGTTTTGTTTGTCTGATTGTTTGTATGGGGGGTCTATATTGGTTTGTCCCGCCGTCTTGTGTATGTTTTGTAACAACTAATAATGAATCAGTCCATAGACAGGGTAAAATGAACTCAACTTTAGTTATCTCACCAAAGTAAATGACCTGAGAAAAATAAAAAGTGTTTTTATGTCCTGCCTCTGAGTGTGCAGGGGAAAATGTAAACAAGAAGCACACTGTTCAGGGTGAGCGCTAGGTGTAAGAAGAAAATAAGATTATATTGCTTTAAGAATCCATTCTTAGATGGTATTGCTGGTATGTTAAGATATCTTTGTGACCTTGTATAAACCCTATGCCCGTCCTGCGCCCCGAGACCCTCAGAGACCTGCCTGAGGAGATCAGAGTTGCAAAATCTGTTTTTGTAGGTCAATGTTGTATTATTTGTTTCATTTATTCTTAATCTATGTATTGTATAGTAATAATGAATAAAAACGTAATGTATTGAACACATTCCGAAACAAAGCAGATAAGACAGAACAAGACTCAGACATAATACTAATTGTTGTTGAAACCTTTTGCGCTGTTGCAGCAAAATGGAAACTGTGTTAATTATTCTGTTCCAACTGGCCACTGGAATCAGATAATTAATATAAGTTGAAGTTCAATTACAGTTTTAAAAAGTAGTTTAACATTCTTTATTAAACTGCTTCAAATTATTTCTCGTATCAACCAATTCGTCTCTATAGACATTACTAAAATTAAAATAGTTGTTAAACTACTGACAGGTTTTCTGAAACCGAGCTTATGAACAACAGAGTAAAGGTTGCTGGTTAAGCCAGGATCAATATATTTGTTGAAGTTTTTATTGTGTGCATAATAAATGTGTTAAATGAATTGAGCAATTCTTTAAAAGTATAATGTTGCAATTTCTTTAAAATAAGTAATTACAGTTACAAAATAGGTGTTGTTTTCCAAGGGCCTCTCTTTCACAGGCCCACACTTTGAATCATAACACTCCCAAGTCCTACAGAGATCAGTATCACTTTGTGTTGCAAGCCAAATCCAGGGGTTCTACTCGAGCCCAATTTTAAATACCATAAAGAAAAGTATTGAACCCAGCTCGAGCTAAATGTGAAATGTATTTAATTAATGTGCAAGTGTTTTGATTTATTTAAAATGTTCCAGTCTAGCTTCCTTCGAGTTTAGTATAAACAACAGATTGGTTCTCATAACATTCTCACTGCTGTGCTGTCCCAAATGTTTTAAACCTTGGGCAGACAAGCACAAGCACAAACACACACACACACACACACACACACACACACACACACACACACACACACACACACACACACACACACACACACACACACACACACACACACACACACACACACACACACACACACACACACACACACACACACACACACACTTTGGATGAGTAATCACTTTATCCAAATTGTAAACTGTTGCCTTCTTTAAAGTTATTAGTAATTCAAGATTAATTATTAAATTAAATGTGGTACATAACAAATAATAAACAAAATAACTTTGATTTGATCATTTTGTTCACAACATTAGACCTTGTCCTCTAATCTCTACTAGAATAAGATAAGTGTGCATGTTTGGGTATTTTAACACTCCTGTAATGTACCTAATCTTGTTATCCTTTTCATTACAGAGCTGGGAAAATGGTGTATTGATTAGATTCTGATCCGTGCAGTCCAATTTTGACTGACTTTAGATAATGTTAATTTTATTTCAACCCATAAGTAATTATTTAGATTAACTCAATATTTCACATGATGGATTAGTGCTCCACATTTTTCCCACTAATTTGTTGTGCAATTAGGCCAATGGTAAAGAGAGACATTGATGACCTTGTGTCCCTTTTGTTGGTACGTGGTTCCATTCTATCTATGGCCTTGGACGATTTCACTAAGAATCACCCAGTTCTGACAGTCCAGCTGAGTGCAGTCACAGAGATGCTATGGCTGCTCTACATGAAATGACATTAATGGTCTGGTCCGAGAATGGACACCATTCCCTGCTTCCAGAGACAATGCCGCTCCTCAAACTGAACAATACTGTCTCACGTGGGCCACTCCCCCCACCAAGCCATGAACTGAAAGCTTTGAACACCTGGAAGCCTCCCGGTCACACCAGCACCAACCCTTGGGTCAGTCAGATGGGACTAACGGCTTAACTTAGGGCATTTGGTTCAGAAATATGACTCTCGTTACCGCAGAGTGGGTTGTTTTTTTAAGGCTATTCATACTGCTATGCAGAGGATGCCTGTAGGTTGGCAAGCTGTTAAAAGCCCCTACTATTTAAAAAAAAACAGGCCTAATGTCAGGGGCCTCTTAGTTCTACATGTATTCACATTATATGGACAATGTTTCCACCTGGTAAAACTAAAGGCTGCACGGTACTCAGGCTACAATACGACCATTTTGTTCTGCTCTAACGATTCAATTGATAGATTCTACATCAAAACAATTAGCTTTTATTGTTTCCAATGATAACGTCATTTTAAGTGGAGGAATGCAAACCTGTTTTCAAATGTAAGGTTTTGAATTTGTTTGACTTTCCTCAGTAATAACACCCTCAGACACCCACTCATATGTTAAGGGGATGAAGCTTTTCCTGCCAAATCAGATATGCTTTGTTTTTTTAACAAAGGTATGCATTTCCTGCATAATATATGTTTCTCACAATTGTTTTTTTGTAAGCTGCACACAGGTGATACTGAGTCTTCTCGAGTAATAGATTACACCATGCTTAAATAGACTCATAAGTTATTATTTCATATGTGACATGTAAGAAAAGGGAGGGAAGAGTAAATTATATTGAGTAATTGATTTTATATTGGAACATTTATTTCTCAAACCTGTTTTATGGAAGAGGAAAATATTTCTGATAAACTAATATGTTATCAAACGGTAAATGGTGAATTAATATAACATTTAGAATCATTGAGAAGGGGTGATATCCGCAGGGACTAGCTCACCTTTAAATTACAATAACATTTCTCTACTTTGGACTGATGAGTATATGATTCTTGCATGTTAAA